TTACTGGAATGAGCTACTTTTGTTTCTGTGAAAAAGTAGCAGCATTTCATAAAGTGAATACAAAGAAAAAGAAAATGATTCTTTTGGGGACACTGACTAATAAAAGACCAATGTTTGATTATACAGTATAAGTGATGAGGATCATTTTAGGCATGAGCTACACCTAGGAATTAGGGCAGAAGAGAGATTGGTTGTAGTCCTTTGAGTAGTCAGAAAGATGTTTTGACTATCATTATTGATGGGATAAGACAGTAAATGACTCTGTGGTTACAACTGAAATTCAGCTCCTTTGTTCATTAGTTTCCCTTTAGATGTGAAAGTTTTCACAAATCATCACTATAATGCTGTATTTTTCCTAGCTTAAGGAAATGCTTGCTGACCATCCTTTAATATAGCAGCTCCATTTGAAAGCAGGAAATAAATCCAGTTTAGAAACAGAAAGCATATACCAAGGAGAATGGACTTTGATTATTTTTAATAGCCCTGAATGACTGTTAATGTGTGTCCTATCATACTGCATTTGTTACCACTTTTCCAGAATGTGTCATTTGTAGACACTAGCCAGTGTCAGAAAATAGTGTCAAAATCTCTTAAATCAAAGCTTGTAATAGTTTGAAATGCAAAGCATTAGACAAGTCCTACCAGTTAAATCCTTGCAAAGCAAACAATTTTTACCAGTAATTAAAATAACTAGCTACTTGAAGAAAACAATGTCTGTTTTAATTGGTCTCCATAGAAAAACGTTAGGCCTTAGGGGGAAAACATGTTTCATAGAAGTGATCAGTTGTTAATACAAATGGAAATTCTGCAAAATGTAAATTACCAATGAGAACAAGCTCCAAAATTATTTGCTGAGACTAATTTTGTATATTGATTTCCCAGGGAGAGCCAAGGAATCCAGTGCAATGAAATATTTATAAAGGATGAGACCCCACTAAGATGAACTATCTTGTTTTTAAGAATATGTAGCTGCAGTAATATTCCTGATTATTTTTTGTGTAACAATCAACTACTTAATAGAAGATCTACATTAAAAACAAAAAAAGTCACCTACCATACAAGGACTTATCACAAAGTGCAAGCCAGAAATACTCTTTTTACTGTAAGCACTGTACATATTCCAAGTAAAGGTCCAAATGGAGTCACGGCCTACAACATGCTGCTTGGGCTGAGATTTTATTTCTGCCCTGGCACGAGATGTAGCTTGACCGACAAAAAAAGTGGTCCTTAAAGAAAGTGAATAAGGAGGAGGAAGATTTTAAAAAATACTGAAAAGAGGTGAAGAAGTTTGTTTTTTTCCCACTGAATGATCCATAGCTTAAAGGACCATCAATTGTTTTTACTGATTTCAGACAACTCTGTTTCTGTCATCTGAAAAGGTAGTAGTGCAGAAACATAGCAAAATTGAGATTGCCATATTATGCTCATATTTCTCAAACATAGGCTTCTTATACTCTGCAGGAGCTAGATTTCAGACATGTTTTTCATATAGAATGTGTAATTTAAAGCTTTTTTTAAACACTATTGAATTTCATTTATTTACTCTATTGAATGTCAGATTTTGACTTTCAACTAGGTAAGCTAATAATAAATATGAGATACAACAGTTATTGTCCTTTAACATGCCATAGAGAATATTTAATGATTTAGAGAGAAGAAAAGTCATTTATGATGAACCATAAATTATTTTTGCCACTGGCAACATAATTATATTGTTTATCTTGCATATGCTCAATTTAATAATGAGTCTTTTTTGTATGTATCTTTTGTCCCCTCTTCCAATTTCTTCCATTTTCAGTAGTTTTGTTTCTTAACAAACTTCATCTTCCTAAATTACAGGAGTATCTACCAGACATACCAATAAAGCCAGTGGAGCAGGTTAAAAAAAATATATCAAATACTAAACTGCTAGTTTCATCTTGACCCAAGTTGTCACCCAAAATTTAACTCAACTTCTCTTGTTAGTTTAGAAATGCTTTGGGTAGGGTTGTCTCTTAGTAAAGGCACCACACTAATGAGCATTAGATAGCCAGGCAGCCAGAAACTAGAGGATTTCATTGGTTAAGTCAGAACTTGGAAACTGTAAAAGTGTGCTTGGGAATGTTACTGTATATTACAATGATTTGATAGTTGCACCTTAGTTTGTGAAATATGGCACTTGGTTAAATATAATTGTTTAAAACTGATAATCAAGGAGTCTTTTGCCATATGTTAACAATTGTATGTAATAATGTATAATTCATCTTCTTAATTGCTAAAAAATAAGAGAGTCAGAAATAACATTGCTAAGTATTTTATTTCAATAATAAAATGTTTGTTTCTCAATTTCTTATAGCCACTGTAACTATGGTTTGGCTCACAGGACTTCTCTGTTGTCCCAGGCCTTCCTCTGACATGAAAACAGCTGTAGGTTTTGTGAGCATTTCTTTACAATTCTTTCATTCTATACTAAAGGCTTAAATGGACCTAGTTAAGAGTTTTGTTGAGACATAAATGCATGCTGCTGTACCACACAGGAGATTCAGCACACATGTGAAATTCAATTGTTTAAGGGAAGTATCTCCCATATCTACCTCTTCCAGCCTCACACCATCCTGATCCGCTGGCAGGAATTGGAGGGTGATGTCTAGACTGCTAGTTAGGGTTGATGTGTTTCAAGTCTCTACATCCCAACCATCTGTTCCAAAAACTTTTAAATTTAATCCACAACAGCAGTCCACCCCAATATCAGAAACCCCGCTGAACTTCAGAATCCAAGATCAATCCTTTTCCTAGCCCACGCTTCCCTGCAGAGTGTTTGGAAATTAGCCACAGCCTACAGACAACAAGAACAGCAAATCCAAAAGCAGCAGTCCAACAGTTCTCTATTTCTGACTTCTTGCCCTTCTGTTCTCCTATTCCTGTCTTTATTGTCTGTAATAGAGCCAAGTAGAGAAGAGGTAAATAGTGGGCAAGCTGATTCCTACAAGAGCTGTGCTTGAGGGACATGAAGCATAATGTGATTCATGTTGTATGAGCCTCACAAGACTTGTGTTGGTTAAAAGTACTCACAGGGTAGATCATAGCTATCAGTACTAACAAAATCTAGAACTTAAGCAACCCTGGGAAAAGCCTAAGGCATGGCCAACTGCCTATGGGCAATAAGGTCCATCTAGAGTCATCCTGTAGGCCTGCCCATCACCCAGTAGAGCACGTACACCAGCCTGGGGCTTTTAAAGGCTCTTTTATGGTGTTATGGCCATTTTACCTAGCAGAAAAGAACCACAGGGTGAGAATCTAACCATAGGTATTTATTCTTTAATGGTAATTCAAATTACCCCAAACTATTATTAAAACAACTCAATATGCATGACCTTGTGAAAAGTGTAACTATATTCTTAGTTCTAGTCCTAGCTGTTCTCATGACTCTCATCAGAGTGTATGCTTCAGTTTGTCCCTCTCTAGGTTTTGAATGATGACACATGCTGAAACTGAGAAAAAGTTCCACAAATACGTGCATGAATTCTTGGATGGTTTTAGTTCGGCCATGATCCCATCTTATATTTGCTTGCTTTCCATAAACATCCATATGTCTTAAACAAATATTGACAAATACATTTTAAAATTCAGATTTGTAGCTGAACAGTCATTCATTCATGCATTCATTCAGAGAACAGAAAAAAATACCACATGACTCATTTGACCAATCATTACTTATTTCACCAATTATTACTAAGTAATCCTGCTCAAAAACAAATTTTTTATAAATAAACCCTGAAAACACTATTGACCAAAAGTTTCTCAAAAGTGCCAAAAAGTATTCATATTTCAAATCAGTAATACTGGGAGTTTTTTCTGTTTGCAGATAATCTCTGGGAGCAAGAAAAGAATCTAAATTGAGTTTTAATATTACTTGTGCCATAGGGTACTGCAAAAAGTAATTTAATGTCATTTAATTATTTAATGCTCCAGGCTTTGATGATGTATAAAATAATTGGCTGGATCCAAAGCCCATTGAAATGAAGAAGAAGATGAAGAGTGGGGCTTTGGGCCCAATGTGAATGTGATTATTACTAGTCATACAAGGTAGTACTTCCCAAAAATACGAAGAACTACGCAAAGTGAGATATGACTTTTTAGATATAGACCAAAGCAAACATGAAAGTACACATACATACACACACACTTTCAGTTGAAGGCCAGTAACAAGATTTTAAATTCAGAACAAATACCAGATTTATTCATCTGAAGAATACATAAATGAATATGATCCATTTACTTCACTTTTAATATTGAACAGCATTGAATACTCTTATCTATTCTATGGACATTCCCTGGTTTATAAAAATTACCACTGTTAAATGGTCCCAATTCAAGTGCATGCTTTCAAAGCAATGTATTGCACATCTTGCACAAGACTAAGTACTTCAATGGTATTTCACAAGCTCACCTGACAATGCCTTGCTGGTGACTATGAAAGTACTCCACTGTGTTTTCTTTTAAGGGAAATTAGTTCTGTTTTTTGGTTTTTTCTTTTTTGTTTTGTTGTGTTTTTTGGGGGGGGGGGGGTTGGGTTGGTTTGTTTTATTATTTTGATACTTTTCTCCCTTTCTTTTTTAGTGCCCAGACCAGAAACACAACTCCAACTATCAATACAGGAAACAACAAAGACAAGTTACTTATATTTAAATTCCTGGCCTGTGGGTGCACCAAAAATAACCTGTAGTAATAAATTACTGTAAGGTCTTTGGATTTTATTCCATGATCCAGTTAAAACTAAGTGGTAGTTCAGGCAGCATCTGAAGCCTTAGAGGAGGGAGGACATCACACAGCACTTGTTAGCAATCCCTACTAGTCAACACATGCAAATAAGCACATGGACTCTGCAAAATGCTGTGTGTAGCCTGAAATACTTGCACAGAAACAAACCTGCAAATCTTGTAAGGTAAAGCTTCTAAAAAGACCTACCATTTTATATAGGTATAAAAGTATTGCTGACTATAAAAGTATTGTTTGGGCATGCAAGGATGAAAGCAGGAAGTCCAAAGCCCAGTTGGAGTTGCAGCTAGCAAGGGAAGTGAAGGGTAACAAGAAAGGTTTCTACAAGTGTCAGCAACAAGAGGAAGATCAAGGAAAGTGTGGGTCCCTTACTGAATGGGGAAGGCAACTGAGTGACAGATGATGTGGAAAAGCCTGAAGTATTTAATGCCTTCTTTACCTCGGTCTTCACAGGCAAGATCAGCCACTACCGCCCCTGGCAGAACAGTTTGGGGACAAGGTGAGCAGTCAAGTGTTGAAAGACTTGGTTGAAGACTGTGTAGAAAACCTGGACATGTACAAGTCCCTGGGACCAGATGTAATGTACCTGAGGGTGCTAAGTTGGCTGATGTGATTACAAAGCAGCTAGCCATTATCTCTGAAAACTCATGATGATCAGGAGAGGTCCTGGACAATTGGAAAAGAGCAGATATAGTGCCCATCTTAAAGAAAGGGAAGAAGGAGGACGTTGGAAACTACAAATCAGTCAGTCTCACCTCAGTCTCTGGAAAAAGGCCAGTCATACCTGACCAACCTGATTGCCTTCTGTGATGAGATGACTGCATTTGTGAATGTGGGAAGAGCAGTGGACATGATACACCTCATCTTTAGCAAGGCTTTTCATATGATCTCCCACAACATTCTCACAAGCAAGCTAAGGAAGTACAGATTGGATAAATAGACTGTAAGGTAGATAGAAAACTGGCTGGATTGTTGAGCTCAAAGGGTAGTATATCAATAACTCAAAGTCTAGTTGGCAGCCAGTATCAAGTGGAGTGCCCAAGGGGTTGGTCCTGGGGCAGGTTTTGTCCAAAATCTTCATCAACAATCTGGACTATGGAATAGGGTGCACCCTCAGCATTGCAGATTACACCAAGCCTGGCAGAGTAGTAGATATGTAGAAAATGACTTGGGGGTTACAGTGGACAATAAGCGGAGTATGAGCCAGCAGTGTGCCCTTGCTGCCAAGAAGGTTAACAGCATACGGGGCTGCATTTGTAGGAGTGTTGCCAGCAGATCAAGGGAAGTGATTATTCCCCTCTACTCAGCACTGGTGAGGAGTACTGCATCCAGTTTGGGCCCCTTACTACAGGAAGGATGTCAACAAATTGGAGAAAGTCCACCAGGAGGCAACAAAAATAGTTAGGGGGTTAGGGAACATGAATTATTAAGGAGACGCTGAGGGAACTGGGCTTCCTGAGTCTAGAGAAGAGAAGGGTGAGGGAGGATTTAATAGAAGCCTTCAACTACCTGAAGGGTGGTTCAAAAGAGGATGGAGCTAGACTGTTCTCAGTGGTGGCAGATGACAGAACAAGGAGCAATGGTCTCAAGTTGCAGCATGGGAAGTTTAGATTAGATATTAGCAAAAACTCTCATGAGGAGGGTAGTAAAGCACTGGAACAGGTTACCCAGAGAGGTTGTGCAATCTTCATCCATGATGGTTTTTAAGACCCAGCTAGGCGAAGCACTGGCTGAAGTGATCTAATTGAGGAAGGTCCTGCTTTGAGCAGGGGTTGGATTACATGACCTACTGAAGTCCCTTCCTACCCTAAGTTTCTATGATTCTACTTGTATGCTGAGGGTGTGGGAAATGGTGAAAAAAACCTTTCAAACATAGGTTCTTGCTTTTTAGTAAGCATAATAATGGCAATATTTGAAATTCAGCCTAGTTAAAAATTACTAGAGGCTGAACTGAATTATTTGGGACAGCAGAGGCAGCCAGTGGTCCCGAGGGAGGCAGGTACTGAGTACAGCTGAGCAACATATTTTGCAGTTTCTGTCTTAGCTGCTGACACCCAGAAAGACTTGGTGAATGGCTTACAAAAAGCTAGAACTCTTGGTTCCAAAATGATACCTTTTATTAGACCAACTGGAAAATCACAAGAAAATTTTCCTTTTCTGCATGCTTTTGGGATCAAAGTCCCTTCGTCAGGCTCTGGGAAAAGTGTAGATAGTACAAGATAGTAAAAAGTCCCCATAGGTAGGAAATAAACTTCATTTTTCAGGCTTTAGATTTTCTCAAGGACTATTCACCATTACAACTGCTTTAGGCATTTGCTATTTGTACTAAGGGATAGGCCATTTAAGCTACATTGTGCAGGTTCCAAATCCTAACCAAGCAACTCACAAGATCATGGAAAGCTTTTAAGATACAGCCCCTCCCTGAATCAATACACACACATGCAAGCATGTTCTTCCAAACAAAAGTTTGCTCAGTTGTGCCCAAAAGAAATGAATAGAGAGTGAAAATGCCACTCTTTCATTAGGTTTATGTGGCTATTTTTGCAGTGTTCCCTCCAGGTCTAATCTAGAGTGTCCTAGATCTGCAGGTTGGATCTGTGCAGGGTTTGGCAACAGGAAATTGTCTGATGGGCCATGCTTTACAGCTCCTTTAAGAGGTATTGGAAGTGCAGCGTGCTACTACTCCTCACCACTGCATGTGCCCAAAAGGGAACCTTAGATCTCATAAGGCTTTGGTGGGGCCAGTATGCTCAGGCATCAGCTGCTCCCCATCTAGTGCAGTCACACGCAGTCCTGACTTCATGCCTATGCTCTATTTTCCACTCTAAGTACATGTACACACATGTACAAGGAAAGAATATGCTCCAGTGGAGGTAGTTCTGTCCTACATCACATAACATACTTTTCACTAGCTCCTGCAATATTTGCACTGCGTACATGGAAGGAGAACTGGGTTTCTTTTTGTTATAATAATTTAATATATACTTTACAGTGTTCTCTCAATGCACCAGTCAAAACACAGGGGTACCATAGACACATGCACACATGAAGATGATACCTCAAAGAATAGCGGCATGCAAAAAGCTGCATAGAAGAGAGGGAGTGATACTGATATATACACATTTCTATAATATAACCACTTGCAACCATTTTTATTATTATACATAAAGCATCATTTATCCTCCTGTGTAGCCATCTCAAACTGGCTGAGTTTTTTTGGTTTAAGTTCAAGCAGTGTAATAACTCTGTGTATTTTGAGAACAAAAAAATACATGACAGCTGTGGAACAATCCTTATGATTATTGTCTTCATAATTATAAAGGAGTGCTAATTCCAAGACTGGCTATATAGGTCTATTTCAGTTGTATGCTGCACATTCTAGAGCTGCTCCAGTAAAATGTAACAGATGGTTATGGTACTCATAAAGTAAAATAAAGAAAGAGTGAATGTCCCAACCAGTACAAATCTACAGTGATTTGTAAAAATGTTACTAAAATAACAGCACTGAAGAAACTGCAGAGATTGCTTAGATGAGTCTTTGTTCCCCGTTCTGGGATTGTATCCAAGGGAAGATAATTATGTCCAGCTTTAGACCATTCTGGGAAATAACAAGAAAATTGTTAGCTGTACAGTAAATACATTAAATACTTGAGATTCTCAGTTAATATGGTAAAATTGGCCATAGAAGTATCAAAAATAAATTAGCTAGATACCAAGGGGATGCACAAGCATTGACTATCATTACAAAACCAAAAATCAGTTTGAAAATCAGTTGAAATGTTAAGACTACATGCTGCCCCTCCTCATTTATTCTGTAAACAGTCTACCTAAAACCAGTGGCACTTGTGGTGTATAATACCACTCAGCAGCAATGGAGATATGAGAATGCTCATAACTGAATGGTCACAATCCAGCCCAGACTCTGCAATCTATTTTAAGTATTTCCTAAAGAGAAGCATATAATATATAGGTGAAGAAAAATATGGCTATCTATCTCCTCCCAAGGCTCAATTTTTTACCATGTGGAAATGTCAGGCCAGGTTAGCAATGCAAGCCTATAGATACTTCAGAACAGACACAATAGAAAGGAGCATAATCAAAGTAAAATCAACCTAGATCATAAAAAACAACTCACCTTCAGTCACCATTCTCCTCCATTTCTCTCTTCGGCAATGGGTGCTCCCATAGTCACTGTGCTTATCTGTGCAGGGCTTTCTTCTTTGTGCGTGACTTCAAGCAGCTCTGCACCTCCAGGACTGCCGGGTGGATTTTCTGCTCTAGATTCTGTCACTTCTGTTCCAGCTATTCTGTGTCTGTCAAATTGCTTCCATTTGATTTCTCCCCTTATGTCTTCCGTCCCACTTCTCCCCATCCTGTAGTTCCTGTTGGCCTCTCTTTGTTCAGTTCCTTCCCCTCCTACAGGGGCAGGTTGTGCCCTCGCTGCACCACAGCAAGATGCTGTTTCTTCGGTCACACAATCCATCTCAGTCACTGCTTCTCCTTCTTTCTTCAGTGATACTTTTGTCATCAGTTTTTCTTTTTTGGGAAATGTTTTTCTTGCTCTTCCATCTTCTTTGGCAACTCCTTCTCCTGTCATCACTCTCTGGTCTTCAAAACCTGACTCCTCTATTACATGGCCCTCTTCATGTCTTTCTTCCTCTTTCTGCACCTCACATCCAGTTAATGCTTCTTCTGCTTCCTCTTTCTCATCAGGTGATGATTTTCCTTCCATCTCCTCACCTCGATGTGTTATTGCATTTCCCTTTACTTTCCCACTGCCTGCAGCTTCCTTTGCCATTGCCTCTTCAGAGGCTAATGCTTCTGACATTCTTTCTCCTCCCATTGTCACTTCCTCAGCCCCCAAATTTTCACTTTCCACTTCTCCTATATTTATTTTGGCTTTTTCTCTTGATTCTTCATCACTAGGTACCTCTTCTTCCAATATAGATGTCATTTCAAGAGCTGCCATTGACAACATCACCTCTTTATCTGCTTCCTTTGTCACTTCCTCTTTTTCAGCCTTCCCTACTTCCTCTCTCTCAGTTGTCATTTTCTCAGCCTCCAACTTCCCTACGCATGCTTCTCCATCTACCATTTCTTCTTCAGGTTTTTGTTTTGCTCTAACTTTTTCAGATGCTTCCACTAGGCCCTCCTCACTGTTGCATGTTTCTCCTTCCTTTAAAGTTTCCCTCTCTGTTTCTCTGTCCAACGATATTTCCTCCCACTGCGGTGCTGATTTGTCTACTGTGGGGTCCTTTTCTAGGTCTTTATTTTGTGTTGCTTCCTTTTCTTGAACTGGTTCCACTACATGATCTTCCCCTCCTTTTGCTGTCCTATCCACTTTAGACACTGCTTCACTCATGGGAAACTTCTCAAATCCTACTGGTTCCTCTGGTTTGGCTGCTGTTTCCAACAAGAGAACTTCTCCTGCTCCCACTGGCTCCTCTCTCATAGCTTCACCTCCCAGTAGGGTAACCTCCTTTGCCTCCAACACTAAGTCTGATCCTCCTTCCACTCTGGGAACCTGCACTGCTTCTACCAATTCGTCTGCTACAAATTCTCCCTTTCCCACAACCTCCTCTCCCGTAGAAGCCACTTCCTTTACAACCTCTCCTTTAGCATCGACCTGCCTTGTAACCACCCTTACTGCAGCCTCTGCCCTTGCCACAACCTCCCCACCCTCAAAAGCCACCTCCTCCACAGTTTCTCCTTCAGATACTACCTTCCCTGAAGGAAGCATCAGAGTCTCCTTTACTTCTCCTGCCTTCTCCACAGAGTCCTCTCCCTCAAAGGCCACCTTCTCCATGGCCTCTCTTTCAGTCTCTCCCACCTGCTCTGCAGTTCCCTTTGCTAGAGACTCTGTCTTTTCTCCTTCAAAATCTGCCTTTTCTGCTACCTTCTCATCGTCAGTTCCCCCCTGCCTTTCAACTGTCTCTACTGCAAATTCTGCCTTGTCCACAACCTTTTGTCCCTCAGGTTCTACATGGCTGGTAACGGCAGACACTGCCTTCTTCAGTGCCTCCTCCCCATCTGAAGCTGTCCTCGCCACATAATGTCCTCCTTCAGCTTCCACCTGCCCTGCAACCTCTCTTACTGCAAACTCTGCCTTTTCCAGAGTTGCCTCTTCCACAATCTTCTCTTCAGATTCAACCTCCTCTCCTACACACACAGTTTCCATAGCCACCTCTCCCTCAGAAGCTGGCTCCTTTCCTGAGGAGTCTCCCTCCTCCACAGTCTCCTCTGCATCAGGTGCTGCCTCCCTCACAGCTTCTTTCCCTGCAAAGTCTGTCATCCCCACAGACTCTACTGCTTCAAATGCCATTTCCTTCAGAGTCTCCTCCTCAGATGCCTGCTCAGCAGCATCTTCTTCTTTAGACATTGCTTCAACTATTTTTACCACCTCCTCTACTTTTGAGGTAATTTCCCCCACCATTTCCTCTTCTTCAGACACTGCATCTTCCACTTCCTCCTCTCCCTCATTTACATCTTCTTCCTCAACTACATTTCCTTTGGATGCCTCCTCTCCATCAGATACCCATTTCTTTCCTCTCCCCATCTCTTCTGAGTCTCCTTGCACTATTCCTTCCTCTTCAGATACTGTCTCTTTTGCAGCAGGCCTGCTCTCTACTGCCCCTTCCATCAAACATGCTGCTTCTTTCTTAGACATTGTATCTTCCTCTAGAGCTCGTTCATCTCCTTCCTCATTGGTGCCAGCAGTTCTTTCCTCAGCAATAAACTCTTCCTCCTCAAGTTCTTTTTTCTCCCCCATCATCCACCCATCTTGTACCATTTGCTCTGTTGCTTTCTGTATTTCAACTGTTCTTGTTCCTTCTGCCAAGAAAGCTCCATCTGGCACTATTAAGACATAATCAAAACATTAGCTTTATTGTAATAACTGTGTTAATTTTAAGGCTGCTTTTACTAGGTGATTATTAGAGATGCTGTCTTTCCAAATCAATGAAGGGATGTTGGCACAGTGATATGAGAGATACTTGCTGTGTTGCTTCCCATGATGCACCTGCTCTTTGACTAAGTTTTGAGTGTTGTCATTCTGGCATCTGGCTCTAGTTAATTCAAACAAAATGAGGCCACATGGCAGTTCTGCAATCTGAGATACTCAGGGTGTTCAGATGAACTAGTCATAGGCTTGACACAAATCAGAAATTGATGCTAAATTACTTGTATATACAAAGGGGTGGGGGCAGGAAATCACATAGTTTGTAGAATGAATGGTTTTAACATAAATTGTGATAATAGTAAAGTAGATTTGTAACTGTGTTATCCTTGTTATTGTATCCTATAAGTTTACTGAAAACTCCATTTTATGTATTCTTGCTTGACATGAAGTGCTTACTTGACATAAGTGAATGAACCTTGTATAACCTTTTTGTGTGTGAGTGTATGTGAAAGGGTGAATGGTGAGAGAATGGCACAGAGATGGGAGAAGGAAGATTTATCTGTTTATGTAGGCAACAAGGTGCCAAATGTGTAAGTTACCAGTCAGTAAACTAATTAATGGATGGCTGAATAATCCCTTTGAGGCCTAGGGCAGAAAGAAGATAACCAGGAGAAGGAATGCAGCACATCCTGCCAGATGGGCAGCAAGGACACTTCAAGGCTGAGATACCAACTTTTATGAACAAACTGACCTCAAGCTGAGATAAGACAAAGATGGAAGAGAAACAACTGTAACAACAGAAATTGGGCATGGAAAACCCAAAGTGCTGAACAAAGGATGCCAATCCCTATAAAAGAAACACTCTGAAAATGCCAGGGTGGGAGAGCCTCTATCTTGACTTCTGCTTTCTTCGGAGCACAGTGATCAGAGTCTGTTTACCCACTCAAGCTGCTATCTTCATCTTCTCTCAATAGGCTTGGGCTGGCCACGTAGGGCTTCTATCGAGCAACTGCTGCTGGTAACTATAATACCTGAATGGAACAGTTGTTTTGTGTTTGTGTATGTCTGTGTGTAATAATGTGTATAATGATTTGTGTGCATCTGTATGAGTGGTGTGTCTGAACCTCTATGTCTGATTCATGTAATCAATAAATACGCCATTTTGCTTTATCCCCCTTTATAAGGTCTTGCTCTTGATTCGATATATATTAGATTTAAAGTAACAGTTGTGCATGCAACGTGTGGTAGTTGCTTATACACATTTAGGGCCTACTTCTACCCCCTTAGAAGTCAATAAAAAAGCTCACTGAATTTAGTGATACAAAAATCTAGCCCTGGGCAAACACAATTTGTTGTTTATACTAATGTACCTGTGCTTAGTACACACAGTGTAACCTCCTGTCAGATCTTTTGATAATGAGAGAATAAACAGCAGCATGTTTTCCAAATGCTATACCCTGACAGTTCATAGGGAGTCTCTAGAAGAGTGAAAGGACACCCCCCTCCCCAGTACCCTGCCCAAAAACCTGTCTTCATCTGACTCACTCCCTGGCTTGGTGAACTCCCTATCTTCCTTTCGTCCATATTAGCAATGACACAAGGGAAAGCATCTGTATACATAATGCTTCCTCTGTCCCGAGGATGTTATGGAACTCACTGGGGTAAAATTTATTGCTCTAAGTAGGCTTGCTCCAGTGAAAGCCATGAGGCAGCTGGAGAGGCTGAAAGGAGGTGGGGAATGATATGGCAGTGATCGAGCAGACTGGAGAAAGGCCATGATGGGAGGAGGGTTCCACTGACTACAGGGAGATCAGGAACAGGTGGGGGAAAAGAAATAGAGATAAAGAACAAAGAGGGTTGAATATGACAAATAAAAAGCAGCAACTCTCATCTAACCAAACATCATGTGACCACCACATAGTTTAAAAGTCCCAGATTATTTGTTGTTATCCAACAAAATCTCTACCTTCAACCCTCTGCTAATAACCCCCCAGCTAGATGCACTTTGCAGCTGGTTTACTTAGTGTTCTTTTCCTGATTTTTAAATATCCCTTGGATCTTAGGGTTTAAACAGTGTTTAAAAAAAATGCACTTGTCTCTCTTGATTGGTAATCAATAACGCATAACTTTTGGAAAAGGAGGTCAAAAAGCCAAAAGCCTCACACCCAAACCTGCTCTCTCCATCCACCTCCCAAATGTGGGAAGTTCAATTGCAAGTCAAAACTCAGCAGCATTTCTAATTAGTTTTACAATGTCTATGAGAAGTGTCAGCACAATGTATGTAAAACCTCCCCACTTAATATCCTACTCTGTGTCAGGCTGGGAAGCCAAAGGAAGCACGTGTGCTACAAACACGCGTGAGCCCTCAGCGTCCCCCTGACCCCACAGAGGAGCAGAGAGACTGAGCCAGCAGCACTAGCAAGGTAA